TTGGGAAAACGTGTAAAATCATATCTTTATCCACATCGATGTTATTTTATTTCATGCAAACAAATCAACAAGTTTTTTTAAATCTAATTACCTTCTCTCAACTATAACATCCAGAACAGTTATCGTGGTATTAAAAATGTTAAAATTTTATGAAGCATTATTTTTTAATGTTTACCTAATAAATTTTAAATAACAAATAAGAGTTTAAATTTTTTAATCGGTCCGTTAGCACTTTTAAATATTATTTAGCTTATCGCCTAATTAGATGGAGGGCATAGGCTCCTAGCTCGTTTCAGCAATTATTCGAAAGAGCTTAAAATTAACGATTATATCAATTGTCACTTTTCTATGGCACACCTCATTTAAATTTTAATTTAACATGTTTACAATTTATTTTACCCAGTTGCTTCAAAAGAGTTTAAAAATAACGATAAAATTTTATCTTAACATGTTTACAATATATATTTTTACCTATTTGCTTTAAAAAAATTCAAAAAAGTTAAAGAATAATTATTACAATTGTCACTTTTCTATGGTACATTGAAATTTTATCTTAACATCTTTATAAGATATATTTTTATCTATTTGCTTTATAAAAATTCAAAAAAGTTAAAAAATAACGATTATGACAATTATCACTTTTCTATGGTACATCTTCACTGAAATTTTTTCTTAACATCTTTAAAATATTTATTTTTACCTATTTAATATAAAAAAAGTTAAAAAATAACAATTATGACAATTGTCATTTTCTATGATACATCTTCACTGATAATTAACATGTTTACAATATATAACCCAGGGATCGGGTTCGCTTTAAGGTAAAATAAAAATAAGTGGTTCGGTTTGGGTTCGGTTCAGGGAAATATTTTTGAACCCGGGGTTGGGTCCGGGTTCATCTCGTTTAAGAAATTTTGAATTGTTGAAAAAATTATATATTTAAATAATTAAAAAACTAGACATAAATTTGGCATAAAAATAAATTTTTTATTATATTTATATGCAAAATAAAGTTAAAAATACAGAGCAGAGTCATTTATCAATTTTAAAAATTTAATGACATATTTCCTTAAATTAACAATATCCAATATAATAATTTGCTTTGACTTGTTCACTTTCATTTTCCTCTAATTAATAATCATTGAGAATTAAAAATTAATAGCGATAAGAATATAATTGTTTAAAACGATAAATATTTAATTGTTTAAAATTTAAATAACAATTATGACAATTGTCAATTTTCTATGGTACATCTTCTCTGAAATTTTATCTTAACATGTATACAATATATATTCTTACCTATTTGCTTTAAAATAATTTAAAAAAGTTAAATAAATAATGATTATACAATTGTCACTTTTCTATGACATCTTCATTGAAATTTTATCTTACCATCTTTACAATATTTATTTTTACCTATTTACTATAAAAATTGAAAAAAGTTAATAAATAACAATTATGACAATTGTCATTTTTATATGATACATCTTCACTGATTAATTTAACATGTTTACAATATGTATTTTTGCCAATTTGCTTTAAAAAATTCAAAAGAAATTCAAGATAACGATTATGACATTTGTCACCATTCTATGATACATCCTCATTTAAATTTTAATTTAACATAATTTTACTCTATTGCTTCAAAAAATTCCTAAAAGTTTGAATAAAAATAACGATTATGGCAATTGTCACTTTACTTTTGTACATTTTCTCTATTTTCTCAAGTAATCGGAAGATATAGATTAACAACACTAACCCCGAATATACAGTGATGCAGGTTCGGTACGCCTCAAAAAAAATTATATTTAGACGACTAAATTGGTCGATTAAGTCGACCAAATTAGTTGCTTTAGTCGATTTACACGACTACGACTAATTAACAACACTAATTTTAAACGCATTCGTTTAAATTGGACAGTATTTTTTTCTTCTTTTCCGTTTAATCGTTCATTTTGTGCTCACTATAAGCCAATATGTAATGCTTAATTGCATAAGAAGTAAGGTTGTGCTTCAACATATATTTTTCCTCTTAATTACTCAAAATTAAAACTACTAGAAGTAATTTTTACGGAATTCCTAAATTATGTTTTTACCAAGTAAAAATTTTAATTTTATCAGATTTGAATTTCTTAGAAAATATAATTCATAAATTTTACTATTTTTTATTTTTAACATAAACATGATTTTTTGAGTTTAAAATTATTCATTACTCTATCTCTTCTGGCTTATGTCATGAAAGGGTAGGGGTAAACATTTTTACAAAAAATATCTAGGCAAGAGTATCAAATGGAAGCCAATAAAATAATTTTGAGGACTATTAAAATTACCCATCACTCTATCTAGTCCCTCGGGCCAAGGTTTGGAGAGTTTTAAATTTTTTTGTAAATATCCAACAAGGACATCAAATTAAAATGAATAAAAATATTTTGAATGCTATTATCCCTCTAGGTTTTTTGATCTAACGAGTGCGTCGGGAGAGAAGCTCTATAAAAAATTTGAACCCTCAAATTTTTGACTATAAAAAATTTGAACCCTCAAATTTTTGACTATAAAAAATTTGAACCCTCAAATTTTTGAATATTTTTTTAATAATTTTTGATAATGTTGGCTAAAAAAATATAGCTCTAGAAGGAAGAAGGTAATTTTGGATAATGTTAGCTTAATAAAAATGTGGTAATTTTGTATAGTGTTAGCTAAAAAAGGGAAGGTAATTTTTGATAATGGCTAAACAAGGGTATTATGGATAATGTTAGCTAAAATAAGAAGGTAATTTTAGATAATGTTAGCTAAAAAAGAAGGTAATTTTGAAAATAAATAAAAATATTTTTGAACCCCCTGAGATGCAATGGCTAGTGATGCCCCTGGATCTAACTCATTGGTAGGGGGAGTGTAAAAATCTCCTCTATATAAATTTCCATAAGAATATTAAATAAAAGCTAACTATGTGGGGATCAGAATTATAACATAATATCTTGACATGAATCTTAAAATAATAATATCTTTCGACTAATAATATCTTTCGACTGTTTTATTAATCATCCCCATCACTACAAATCATGGTAGGATCAAATTAAACTTTGAATGAAGGGGAGGAGGAGTATGACAAACATTTTTAACATAGGCATCAAGTAAAATATTTATGAAGTAATTGAAAAATTGCAGCCGATCTATATGAAGTTGGGGTTATAATATAATATTTCGATATGAGCCATATTGCTCAAATAATTTTGAAATATAATAAAAAATATCTAGTAAAAATTAAATTATTAATTTAGTATTATATGAAAATTGATATTTTTGATAGATTATAACTATTAAAGTAAGTATTGCCAAAATTTTTTTAAAACAATTTTATACGTCTGGCTGATGCCATTCCCTATGTCATAAATAATAAATAGTTTTATCATTATTTCCCCTTAATTTCGGAAACATATAACTTATCTTATTAAATAAAAATTAGGAGATCTTAGCTTTTAGAAATTATTTGTTCCGCCTGGATAAAGGTGCCTCATAGCCAAACTATAACAGTTGCTATGACCAAGATATATTTAAATGTCGCGTACGACTTACAAAAAATAGGTAAAAAGATAATAAAGAAATACATAATCATTCCGAAAATCCAATCGAGATGGAGACCAAAAAAATAATTAATTATAGAATGAAGCTTTGAATGATACTTTGGAAACTTTAAACTTTATTGTGGCGAAACACGTATCCCAATTACAATTAAGTATCACGATTTCAATGGTACTACCTTCACCCAAGTGCCTACGCAGCCCCCGTCCAAAAAATTGATGTCGATTAAAATATTTTCCAAAAATATTACTCATTATTACATCTTATATATATTTTAATTTACATTTAATCACATTCGCCACTAATTTATTTTACAATTAATATCGATCAAATTTTCCTTGATATTTATCTACCATTTTATAATTTCTCAATTCAATTTAAAACCTTTTCACTGCAATAAGGTAAAATGTTTAAAAAAATGACATCGATTATATTGAAACTATGAGAGCTGAAAGCATTATATTAGAACTTAAGGAAATTGGGACAAATATAGATGATTTACACCCAAATTCCTGCCTTCAGCCTTATCATGGCGGGGGAGTGGCAACGTCTTTTGACGGTTAATGGTGGTCTAAAAGGTTCCCTGTGATCTGGGTCTAGAATAGGATCAATGTCTCCTCAACGTCACTTAAAGGGTTGATGTCAGGATGGGCACCGATTGTAAAAACTTTGCTACAAAATTTCCCTATGGTTACAACAAAGCATGGGCGGGGTAGAGCCCAAAGTACCCCGTGTGCCTCCTCATCCGCCTACGATAAAAAGAAGGATGGGAAACCTGGTGGAGCCACGATTTATAAAAACGAAACTTATGACGGCCATAAACGACCTGATAAGTGGAGAAACCAGTTTACATGAGATCGAGTAAGGGTGGCAACGTGGAATTTTGGGAGTATGACGGGAAGAGCGGGAGAAGTGGTGGATGTATTGCATAGAAGGCATATTGATGTTTTTTACTGCATACAGGAGACCAGATGGAAAGAAAATGGCGCAAGAATGATTGGCATGACTAGTGAAAAGTATAATTTGGCAAGGAAGTGATGGTAAGGCTGGAGTTGGGGTATTGGTTGCGGAGAAATTGGTAGACAAATTAGTCGAAGTGAGAAGGCTAGATATCCAGATAATGGTAATCAAAATGATTTTTGGCAGAAAGCTATATAATATTATCTCGGCATATGTTCCTCAGGTTGGAAGAAGTGAAAAAGAGAAAGATATATTTTGGGACAGTCTTTTGGGGGTGACATCGAGACTAGCAAAGGAACAGATGATTATCCTGACTGGTGATCTGAATGGACATGTGGGAGCGAGTAGTGAGGGGATTTTACGAGTAGTAATATAATCTGTATATCTTCATCTAAGTATTCTTTTTCTAATTTGAAGTTTTTTTTAATTTAAAAATATAAATGCTTTATTTTTCATTTTAGAAAAAAGTTCAGAAAAAAAGTTGTTTATATCGGAATCTATGATTAAACAAGCCAGTGCTTTGGAGATAGATGTTCGCTTGGGAATCATATATTGGACCGATATAGATGCTAAAGTATTAATTAATATGTAAACAATTTTTTTTAAACCAAGTTACGGTATAGTGTCACTATCCCATTCTTGAAATTATTGAGATTGCAAAAACTTTTTCCCATTAAGTGACCACAACTTTATGCTACTTCATTTTAAATTATCAGCTTTCCAAAATATATAGTGGGAAATGTTGAAAATTTATTAATTTATTTTCAGATGCGGTTAGAAAATAGTACGATTTCAATTAAACAAGATACATCTAGATCCTGTTTAATATATTATCTGAATCGATTTGGATTATGTTTGGACCTAAAAGGGTCAAATTAGTGTTGTTAATTTGCTTTATTCATAAAAATTACGATCTAATTTGTTGCTCAAGCTGGCTCTGAGTGACGAACTCGGAACACAAACCCTAAGCAAATTTGAACACAAAATCTGAGAAACTCCGAGAACGAATTCAACCCCTGAGCAAACCCGAGCACAAAATCTGAGCTAACCCTGAGCAAAAGTCCATTAATATTAAAATCTGTTTTTTATCCAGCTGGGTGACTACCAAATACAACATTAAATAATTGTTTTATTGTAATAATAATTATCACAGTGGGTGGGTCTAGATTTTGGGGGGTCAGGAAAATTTTTATCAAAACAAAATATGAATATGGCATTGTTATCTAATAAAAGTTATTTAAAATATCTTAACTGAAATAATAGTATTAATTTTTGGTCTGAATGTGTTGAACCTAGTGTGGGTGGAAGGGGGTAGGGGTGTAAAAAATAAAAATTCGATATGGTTATCAAATTAAATTTAATTAAATAATCGTTTGATTGGAATAATAATTATCACTCTAAGTATGCAGATGGCGATTTTGTAGGGTCTAGAATTTGACTATTTTTTTATAACATAAATAATCTTTATGTATATTAAATAAAACGTAATTAAATTATCTTTTATCTATAAGGTTAATTATTTCTCTGAGTAGGCGGGTCTAGAGGGGTCTGGGATTTGAGTTTTTTTATAACATAAATTTTCAATATTGGATATCGAATAGAGATATTGTCTGGGGGAGGGGGGTGGGTTGGAATTTAACATGAATTTGTAACATAAATTTCAACTTTTTTTAGCACAATGTTAAGTTTACAACTTCAAGTTCAAAACTCGAGTTTGCAACTTATATTTTAATTTAATTGAATATAAAAAATTTTTTTTAAAGAAATGGAAAAAATATATATATTTAAAAAAGGGGGGAAAATATATTTAAAAGAAAAGAAAACTTTTAAAAAATAAAAATATTTTAGTAAGTCGGCGGGGCTTAATGACCCATGAATAGATATACAGTTGGATCAGCAAATTTCTATTGATATTCTTTGTCGTAGGTAAAAGTCTTCTTTTGGATTACCCATGATTAAACTTAACTTTTCCCTTTTTCTTGATATAATTTTAGGGGTTGGGGTCTAAATGATCCACATGTATCTGAAACTATCAGCACAAACAAAAGGTTATTAAAGTTGCTATATTTATTTGTCGTGGAGTTTTCAGCTTTCATGATCAAGTTGACAGAAAAAGATCTGGCATGAGCAGTTTAATGTTTTAAAATATTTTTAATTCTATTGAATTTGGCCAGAAATTCATCTCTGAAATGAAATATTGCACTTCCACCTCCAATGGGTGAACCTAGGTGGGTAAAGCTAGTTTTGTCCATTACAATAAAATTTTCAGGTGGCAGTCTGATTCAAGAGGAGGGGGCGGGAGGAAATAAAATTCACACTTATTAGGATTTAGTGACAGTCCCGTTATGGGGAAACGTGAATTGAAGGCAATTTGTAGATCTATTTTGAGGATGCATTGATCTTGTGTTGGAGGATGACACATGTGGAGTGGGATACCGCCTCACATCCTCCGGGAATATTAAAATTAAGCTAGTTAGGGTTTAACAGGTTAGACAGGGGTAATTTTATACGGGTAGCAGATTATTTTAGAAATTTTTCTCTGGAATACTGACTGCTATAGGTCTGATGTCCCCATTTGTTTTGTTTAAGATTATTAAGCGGGCTTCAAATATGATGGGTATTATAAAATATATGATTGAGCAATATTGTAAATTGTGTGAACATATCTTGATATAGGGGTCTAGTTGGGTTATCTTGTTAAGTATATGACTCGAAAGCTATAAAATAATCTTTTTTGAATGTTGCATCCAAGATTTCCTCCTCAGTTCGTGGAACAGGATTATTAAGGTGGAAGGATGATAAGTGTAAAATCTTGAGGATGTTTAGATTGTAAGGCCCAAAGAGTTTTTCCGTCATTGAGGGCCATAGTACATTTGTAGCAAGCTAGGTTGATAGCCGAATATTGCATAAGTTTATTTTATTCTCAATAAGCTTAGCCTTTTTTTTCTATCAAAAGAAATGTATAGATTGTTTGGGAATATCAAAGTGAATTTAATAATGTTTTTTGATATTTTATTTTAAATGTAGTTTTGATGTAAGAAGGTGTAAATTTAAATAAATAAACAAACATTAGTTCTTGACCCATGTTTTAAATAAAGATTTTTATTTATAAATATGACATGATAAGTGAATTTTTAAAATGTATAAACGATTTTATTCCTGTAAAATTATGGAAATGAATTAGCCAGAATTATTATATTAGATGACAGAGTTGGGCAGGTCCTGATACAGATTCTTTATAAAAAAAATGAATCTTAGATACAGATACTAGTATCTTTTTCAAAATATCAAAAAGATATAAGATAAAATATACTTGTATCTTTTACTAAATTCTAGTATCTTAAATACAAGATACTTTTAAATTATCATTACCAATTAGATTAGAATAGTTTATAAAATCAGTTTTTATTATTTATTTGTGAAGAACATAGCATACACATATAAGAATGAATATTTGTAATAATTAATAAGTATTTATTAATGAATTAATTATAATAACCAGGGATTTTAATATTAGTTTTTGCCTATTAATAGCTTAAACAGGGAAGGGAGAGTAGTGTATTTAATGGGAGTTGAAAATTTGCAAATAAGAAAAAAAAATTAAATCCAGAGTTGGACAGATCCTCCGGAAAAAGAATCTAGATACAGATTCTTTATAAAAAAATGAATCTTAGATACAGATACTAGTATCTTTTTCAAAATATCAAGAAGATAAAGATACTTGTATCTTTTACTAACTAGAGTATCTTAAATACAAGATACTTTTTATTATCATTTCCAATTAAATTAGAATAGTTTATAAAATACAGTTTGATTTATTTATTTGTGAAGAACATAACATACTCATATAATAAGAATGAATATTCACAATAATTAATAAAATATTTATTGATGAATTAATTATAATAACCAGAGATTTTAATATTAGCTTTTGCCCATTAATAGCATAAACAGGAAAGTGAGAGTAGTATATTTAATGTGAGTTGAAAATTTGCAAAATAAAAAAAAAATTAAATCAATTATTATTTTTTTAAAATAATTAATTTTTCAAATAATTAATCATTGAGCCTTTGCCTTTTTGGCGTAATTAGCATTGTGTCAAAACTAAATAACCTCTCAACAGGAGCTGATGAAGGTATGGCAGTATTATATTTTAAAAAAATTTCCTTAATTAAAGGATAAAAATTTAGCATTTCTAGTGTTTTTCGGTGGTATTTAATATAATTTACAACCTCGAGCTCAATGTTGTTTGTATTGTTGAACTCAACAACTTTGCTTCACCAAAAGAAAAATAATCATCATTTTTTTTATTACTAAATCTACTGGTGAGATAGCATGAGCTTGATTGTACACTATAGATGCCAGATTTAAGGCTTCATTTAATAATTTATTTTGAAAATATTTTTTTTTATTATCAGATTCAATCCATAGGTTCTTAAAATATATATGTGATAATGATGCCAAAAAGGCCTCATTATATTCATCATCATAAGAAAATTTTTTTTAAAATCTTTTGCTCATGGCATTTTGGACAGCGTTTAATAGAGGTAGACAATATTGTAAACTTGAATGTTCAAATCTACCTAATTCCCTTTTAACTACAAATAGTATGGGCACTAATTCCCCATAAAATGTACTACTCTGCCCTTGTAGTTTGTCTAATGGAATTGCTATAGGACCTAAAACTTTATAATATTCCTCCATATAAACAATATCCATTTCTTTTAAATTAGGACAATCAATTGTTTAAAATAATAATTTTAAATCGGATTTATATTTTAATAATGAAGTCATACTATCATATAAACTGTTCCATCTCGTTATGCATGGAACCTTTAGCTCAATACCACCTGTTATCTCCCTTATCTTTTCAGAAAATTTGGGCCTTCCACATGCATTCCATAATTTTGTGCATTTCCCCATTAGTCCATAATGAATCTTTTCAAGATTCTTCGAGCTTGATATTGATGAAATAATATCTTTAGTTGCAATTAAGGACAAAGTGTGGCAGGCACATCTGATGTGCCTGGGTAATAATATTTTGTTTATTTCATCTAAAGATAAAGATTTTAAAAAAATTTAAAAAAAAATCTGTACTAACCATCATTGATTTCATTACACTCTAATAGATCATCCTCATCCTCAAAATCGTTGTCAATAGCATTTAATTTCACACAATATTCACTAAATGACTTTACAAAATTGGATGCATTATCTGTGACAGTAGCAATTAGTTTATTAGAAATCCCATGCTCTCTATAGACTTCTTCCAATAACTCAGCAATTTTATCAAATGAATGTGTTGCCAAGGCTCTTGATTGCCTTTCAAGGGTTTCTCTTGTTATCTTTGAAAATAATTTATAAAAAAAATTAAATTACGATATAAATACCCAGTGAGATGTTATTCCCATAAAACTACGGGTTTTTGTAGACCACAAATCTGCCGTGGTACAAATTTATGATTGGGCCTTTAAAATATTTTTTAAAGTATCTACATGATTTTCAAAAATTTCCTCTATTCTTCTCTGCAATGACCTCCTTGAAAATATTTTAAATGATCCAATATTACTAAGA